CTGTTACTACTAGTAAGGCACCTGTTACTACTAGTAAGGCACTTGTTTCTACCCGGTCAACCAAGTAGTCCTTTTCTGTGGTCAACCAAGTTCCGAAATCGTGACGGATGGGACCACCATGCGTACGGAGCACCAAAGCAAGTGCGGCGTGCGGGGATCATCTGGTTCTCAAGTCCTACATAGTTTTGGCTCCATAGTTTCAAAGACTCCGCCTCTATGTGAGCAAGGAAAAAACGCCCACATGCACAGCAGCTTGGACAAAGATGTAAACTATTTCGCAACTTACTCCTTACTCCTGTCGAAAAGAACTCATTACGAATTGTGTAAAATATGCTATAACAATAGAAATATACCAGGACCCACTGTCAGGGTGGTTAATGGGCACCCCTTAACCTCTAAGGAGCTATCAATAGAAACCCCTGGTCCGGGTGTCCTGGTATAGAAATAATAAGCATGTCCACATCGGTGATCTCTCGGACCACCGAAACTCCTGCGAAGACCGCGCTAGGACTGAAAGCAAACCCGTTGAAGACCGTGAATGTCTCCACCAATTGATGGAAGAGATGCGGAAAACCACCGCTCCCCCTTGAAACTCCACTTGCTTTCACACACTGTGAAAAGCCAATTGTAACACGGGCCAATCTCTTTCAAGAATCCTATCCAAAACACAAATCACTCCTCCAAAGAATACCCAAAAACCGTGCTGAAAAACAGTTCCATGATTCGGCTTGCCTGGCTTGCACACCCAAGGCACAAACACTCCATGGCCTCATCCAGGCTCTCCAGATTCAGATCGCCTGGTTCGCTTTTGAGCGCCGACCAGAGACTTATTTGGCTTGTAATGCAGTTTCGTACACCCCAAAACTGCAACCTGGTCCAATGAAATCCGGTGACTCTGCTTCATTGCCCATGTCCCCTGGAGTAAAGCAACACATCCAAGGGTTTGCGAGGCAAGTGCATTGCTCTCTGTCCAGTGAAAACGTCTACTGTAGCCATACATCTTTGGTGGCCAGAAAAGTCACCGCCTGAAACGCTGCACCTTTGGTCAGACACCAGGCTGCACAAACACACACACACACATGTATCCACACGTTTTTCAACGTTTTTCCACATTGGAAACAGGATGAACATGGAAGAACCATCTTTCATCATCTTTCTTTCTTCTAGCTTTTGGCCCTATCCACAAGGGTGGTCAATATCCCTCACAGCTTGGAGAACACCCAGGGACAGGCGTAGATCATCGACAGCTGCGACCAGGCCTTCAGATAGCATTCCTCTCAGACCGGCCAAGCTCTCATGCAGCTGAGGCAGACCATCCATCGACTCCTCCTCGGAAATTTGGGCTTCAGTCAGACTGCAGGGCTTCGACTGCAGTAGGCAACAGCGCAACAGCTTGTGATGGACGGCTGTCATCCTGCACCAGGAGTTACATAACTTATATACCTAACTAACTAGATTTGATTAAACATAACATTACTTGTCTAGCCGTACTTACAAGGATGAAACACGCACATACAGCAGTTGTGTCTTCACAAACATTATATATATAAATCCTTCGGTCTCAGCTCTTCCTTTTGAGATGCAAAAGATCCGAAGCTGTACAAGAGGAACACTTCATTCATACTGGGCTAATGTGTTTGGCTGAAAAGCTAATACCACAAAGCTTATCATCTGTTGGATGACGCCTCTAAATCGAAATCTGGCTAAGCTGTGTTTTGTCACCACCCCCACGGCGATGCGCCAACGACGATGCGCTTACGACGGCGTGCGTTTCATCTTCCGACGCCGCATGACAAGGCAGGGAAGCAAATGATCATGTTGCAGTGTCGGGGGTGAAGGATCTTTTGGACATGACTTGATTGATTCCAGGTATTGCAAGTGCTGAGAATATCCTTTGTGATACGATCCACTGAGATGCATCCTGTGCTTTTGGACCTGTCGCTTCCTCTCTCACTGCATCTCTCTCCATGTCCCTTGACAGTTCTATGCCCACACTTACTTGTAGGCACTTATATATGTCAAGATCCTAATGATCAAAATTATCAAACACGTCACTTGACATGGACTTGAATAACATTCCTTATAAGTGAAATAGCCATAGGCGTTGGACAGGGCACAACGCGAAAGCAAATTTAAGTGCTCAACCTGTCCTTTCATAACAAAACCGCTGCGGATTGCGCGGTTCTGTTTTGGGTTTCCATGTCTAACACTGTACTCATTCTCCCTGACAGCTCAATATGCCCACCCATGCCTGACTACAGGCACTCGCGTCAAGCACTATGATCACTAACTAGTTGAAAACATTATACAAAACAAATGTAAAAAAGAAACAACAACAGTTTCCCCAAACCTGTCCTGGAGGTCCTCCTTGGGAATCTCCTGAGGTCAACAGCGGAACGAGGCGGTAACGCGAGGGCTTCCAGAAGCGAACGACGTGGGCAAGACCGTCCAACGCGGATGGCAAGACTCGGAGGACCATAGAAGTACAGGATAGATCCGAAATGATCCGAAGACAAGACCCAAAACAGGTGGTAAACCACTCACGTCCACATTCCGATGAAAAATATAGGGACGTGTATTACCCCGGGTACCCGGATCGTGTTGGTGACCACGCGTCGTATGTTGGGCACACAAAGACATATTATCGAAGAACGAGTGGCCTATCTGCTCTACAAAGCTTTGTCACTTGCAGGACCTAGTAGCGATGCCAGGAGCTACTAGTAGCGTCCTTGTTCCTAGTAGTAAGGCCAGGAGCCCCTAGTAGCGTCCTTTTCCTAGTAGTAAGGCCAGGAGCTACTAGTAGCGTCCTTGTTCCTAGTAGTAAGGCCAGGAGCCCCTAGTAGCGTCCTTTTCCTAGTAGTAAGGCCAGGAGCCCCTAGTAGCGTCCTTGTTCCTAGTAGTAAGGCCAGGAGCCCCTACTAGCGTCCTTGTTCCTAGTAGAGTCTCGGGAGTCAGCTTGTTTATAAGCCGAAAGATTCCGATCTCACTCCCCCTTGAAATTTTCAGGGGGAGGGGTGGAGGCCGCGGAGGCCCTCATTCTGTAGAGCTTATTTCAACTGGGATGGATTTCAGATGTAATATATTGCGTATATATGTATATAAAATAATCACTTTCATCCGAAAGAGCTTCTGACTCTAGTATCAGCCCTGGGTCGCCATGGGTCTCCTGGCGAAGTCAAACCCAACAAGATGCGGCTATTCTGAGGACACCCGTCTCATCCTGGTATTTTGAGGCTATTTCTCTTGGAGCCGGAGCCCAAGATCCTCTAGTACAAAGGGGATCCTCCAGAGGATCCTCCCAAAAACCGTTCACAAAAGGGTTAGTCCATTGTGGCAAACATGTCATGACATGTCTAAGACAAAAGGTGTTCGGGCAAGGAAAACCACCAAAAAGGACTCACACAAAAATTATATAAAACTATATAGCCAGGATCAAACACCTTGGTGCTCTTGCTGTCCAACACTACGCAGTCGTGCTCCACGTGCATCTTGCAAGCACGAGATGCACGCCCTGCCTCGCGCAACAAGAGTTGCCGAACGCGACCCAGCCACGCGTCCCACACCTCCGCCGCGTCCCAGGTGTAGAGTGGATCGCCCGCGTCGATCGCACGACGCGTCCTGCACGTCCGGTGGCACACGTCGCCACACATCGCCATCGTTCCACGTGAGGCATCCATCGGGTCCTGGGTGGCCATCGGGTCGGTCCGGAACGCGATTCCGTTCGCGCGAACGGACCCCCTGGGCGCGCGGTCGGGAAGTTTGGTCGATCGAAGTCTGGACCCGCAGAGAAGCGAAATCAATGAAACGGAGTTGAAGCTGAAAACCACTGAGCTTGGAAACATCCAAGCTAAGCTTAAAATCCAGCGCTCTGGTTGACAGGTGTATCACTCCAAGTCCGCACACAAAACACTCTCTTCAATCGAATCTGTTGGCATAGCCATTCATAGAACATGTAACCATTCATAGAAACCCTACAAACAGCTTAGAAAGCCACTGGATGAATGCATGATGATATATGATGAGTGTGCAAACATTGATTGTTGGGTAGTTGTCCCAGGTGTGCAGTGCAAACCTCAAAGTTCCTAGAAAACTGCAATGATTCCTTCCAACCACTTAGTCTCCATCGGCTTCTTTCTCCCAAGCAGCGGAGGGTGCCGCGGAAGATCTCTCCGCTCAACCTTAAACGGGAGAACTCAGCATGCCTTCCCAGGAAAGTGAATCCTTTCCACATCCTTTCACTATCGAGGTCACCAAACAATCCAAACAAACAAACGCCACTTCCAATGTTCCACTGGCTAATAATTATTGATAATTCATGTTTGGCTCTCACCCACAGCTATACGGTTGGTAAGTGTGTTGAGAAGATTTAAAGAAATCAAAGTTCAATTCTCGGGGCAAGTCAGCTACCTAGAATAACATGGGAAAACATGGGAATGGACACCCTGGACTAACCATGGACTCTATAATTTACAGTCATACTTCTTGCAAAGGAAGAGAAGAAAAACGTATTATGCTGGACTCTAACACCGAAAACCTGTATATCACTCAGATCAGCCGTATTACAACTCCATAACAAACACAAGAACATCGCTACTAGTGGCTAGAAGCTACCAGTAAGGCTCGCAAACATATCACACCTCTGGGCTCTTTGGGTTTCGGCAAAATAAGTTTTCCGGGTTGGCTCCCCAAAGGGTGCGGGGAAGGTCTTTTCAACCCCTTTCTGGAGACTGCATTGCATTGCTGATGAACCATAAGTGTCCGGTACCCAGCAGGAAAAACAAACCAATGAACCACCACCAAAGCCCTCACCCGATTCAAACAAAAACACACACACAGTTGCAGGCCAAACCCAGAGAAAACTGCCAAGCCCGCTTCGATGTGCGACACCCAAAAACCTCAACCATGTGTGTCTTCTGGTGGTGAAGGTTGAAGGTTGGAGGATTCATGCCAAGCTGCAATGTGGATGTTGAGGTTTCACTCCAAATCTCCAACTCCGATTCCTGGAACACCACGGCCATGCGAGCTACGGCTGAAACGAAGAAGGAGCGCCCCGAGCGCGGTTCTACGAGCGGTCTCTCGGCACCCCCAGGATTTGGTTCCATCGTTTCACACAGCTTCGATAGCTTGCGCAGCTTGGTTCCCATCCCGAATTCCTGAAGTCACCGGATTGGAACACGTGTTGGGTTCCACGGTTCCATCCTGAATCGTCCCAAGAAAACTGAAAATCAAACCGCCTGACCAGGCCTTCAGTTGTGAAGGTCAAACATGAAAAAACACCCGAGAAAAAACATCGATGTCATCACCGTTTTTGGAGCACGAACCCCCCCAAAACCCGGCTTTTGGTTGGGGTCAATTCAACTCTGACCCAGTCGGTCTCCGAGTTCCAGTCGATGTGTCCCTTCCAAGGTCCAACAAGTAACACCGGCCAGGTCCGGACACGATGTCGCACCCGGGATCATATGGGCTGCCCCGGTGAACTGGTTGAAGCGATCCCACCTCCTTCCAGCGCGCAGCGAGGAGCGCCTTTTTCGCTCAGACGAAGGTCCAGCTCCAGAGGACCTCCTGTATTCCTCGTCAAACGAGATCCCCTCCTTTTTTCGCCCAACGGGGTGCGAGGATCTCCGGATCCGACCTCCAGGTCCTTCCGACGTAGAGCTCCGCCACATTTCATTCATTCGCATCCAGTCGAAAGCCTATGGCTTATGGAGTTGAGCAGCAAATGCCAAAAGCTAAATTACAGCTAGGGCAACTAGACAGAAGTTGCAGCACACAAACGTCTCAGCGAGCAAAGCCTAACTGACAAGGTGCCTTGACTAGTGACCACTTCCGGGTACACCGGCAACCTTGTTTGGTGCATTCCGCTCGGGTCCCTGTTGGGACCCCAATATGGCAGCCTTTCAGGCTGCGCACAATGGACCTTCTTGGCCTTCTGTATGGCCACGGCCCAATCATGAAGCTGCAACAATGCCCTACCGCGCGGCTCAGCTGACAGCAGCTCGCACCACCAACGCAGGCACTCATGGTCCATCTCATGCTGCATGCCCCACAAAAAGATCGAGCCCAGCAAAATGCCGGTTTCCATGCCTTCCCAGTCGTGGTAGAAAGACTGCACATCCTGTGCAGTGGCAGCAGCCTTCATGCACTCCTCCCCAATGACAAGCAGGATATCCTGATCTGAGCGAAATGAGACACCAGATTCCTCCAAGTCATCCTTCAGGTCCAAGAAGTCCTTCTCCAGGGTGAGAGCATCGTCCCACTCGGCACCAAAAATCTTGGGGCCATAGAGTGTCACGGCCTCTACCCTTCTCGCTGCTGTCAAGGAAGTGAAGGGATCTGCCGGGAGATCCTCTCGTCCCTCCTCCCGAGTCCCAAACTCCCTCAACCAAGCAGTGCACACATTGGTTTTGCCTGTTCTCGACACATATCGAAAATGTATGCGAAGGCGATTGCGTGTCCAGATTTAAATGTTGCAGGCAAACTGGGCACGTAGCTCCACGCCCGTACCCCGCCGTGGCTGTCCGCCAAGAATGCGTCACCATCTGATGCATCCTCAGAGCTTTCCTTGTTGGGAACCCACGTGGCCCAAGAAGCCAGCCAAAGATGTTAGTAGTAGAACTCGAGGTGCAAATGGGCATATTGAGTGCGGGCGTAAATGCCATCTCCTGAAAAAAAAACAGCCCTTCCTTCCTTCATATAGCATTCCTCAAAAATGTCCGGAGGGGCGGGTGACAAGCTGTAGGCCAAACCGGCCTCAGCCACCCCCGCAGCAATGAGGTCACCCAAAAGCCGGTGCACTTGTGGCCATCGAACTGTAACATGTATGGCATCTCCATGCCTGAGGCGCATGCGTCCATATGTTGGTCGCCCTATGCCGTTGACCTGCACAGCCACCTCTAAGCTTGCAGGTCTGGATGGAAAGAAAGATTCCAGAAGTTCATTTCTGTGCAGCAAAGCTGAGAACGTGCGTGTTTCGAAAAAGGAAACACAGGCCCAACGGAGCTGAAAGGTCCATTCAATGATGACCGCTGGATCCGTGTCCTGTCGTGCCGCCACACTGGGAGGTGTGAAAAGTAGCAGCATTCGACTGTGGTAATCGAAAATGGAGGGAATCATTACTAATCATTTGGAAGTCCCATTCAAGGCCCCTCAAATGATCCCATCGCCGTTCCACCAAAGTCACCAATGATTGCCCCATCCAGGACTGAACCACGTAGCCATGAAGTGTATCACGTGGATCCGCCAAGAACATCACCACCTGAGAAAGTCCCGCCATATTGGCTACCAACGCCTCAAAGTGGTCATCAATCTCAGCATGAAAAGAACACGGTCCACCATGACCTGTCTGGCGTAAGCCCAACTCGATCCAGCTGTCTCATGCTCCCCAAGGTCAAAAAGGGCAAAGGTGTCCCCTTCCTCTTCAGCCTCGTTAGTGCTGGGTGCTGCCTGTTCGCAAACCTGATGCCGGACCTCCACATGAACTTCAATCTTTTGCCACCCTCGAAGGAAAACCCGGTCCGTGCCAAAGGGGGCAACTCCCTCAAGATAGCATTGACAACGGATCCCAGGTGCATGGCAAAGACCTGTGCAGCCCGCTTGGGCAGTGAGCTCCCGGCACGTCACTGGATTGGTCGTCGACACAGGAACAACACGCACCTGTGGTCTCGATGCGGTGCCATAGTGCACTAACACAAGTGAGGGTGTCCCCCGTTGCGGTCCTTGAACGAGCACTTGAAAGTGGTGCTGGTGTCCACTCAAGGCATCATCAGTCTGCGGTACTACTGCTCCAATCCAAAGGTCTTCTTGCGGTGGGACCTCATGATGGAGAGCAGCCCGCACCTTAAGGGCTAAATGCCCCGGTGCCATGGTCATCTCATCTCCCCATGTAGTAGTCCATGTTCTCATCTTGTAGTCCACATGACGGATACGGATGAGAGGGGCAGACCCTTGTGCCCACAGGAAGGCCGTAGCATCCAAATTCAGTCGCTCCAGGCCCTGCACAAATGTATGGGCTCTCCAAAGCTGATAAACCTCGGCTGGGAAGTCCAACTTGGGAGAGAAGGCCTCAATTTGGAATAAAAGGAAGCATCATTCTCAGGGATTACCTGCACCTGGCTCTCATTAAGTGTTCCTGGTCCAGCGCCCCCATTCTCCTCCAGATGTATCCCGTCATGGAATGGTGTCTTGTCAGAACCCGAGGCGGAAGACCCAGAGGCCGTAGAGCATGACGAGACGTCCATGGTCTGCTCCAACCGGCCAGGTCCACATCGCACTCGAATGAAGCACCCCGGCCAAATATCCAAGTCCTCCCCAAACGAAACTTGCTCTGGCAGCACGACAACGCATTCCATATCCTCACAATTGCAAACCGTTTCCCAGAAACCAAAGAGTTCCCTGGAGTTGATCCTACCTGGAGAGTAGGGGTGCTCCAAGAGGAGGGACCCTTGCAGGACAAAGTTCTCCATCACTACCTGCATCATAACTGGCAACCGGTATGTGCGTTCGTCCTGATACAGGATCAAATCCTGCAGAGGTGGTCCACCAACCACTGGGTCCACTAATTGAACAGCAATTTGCTTTTCATCACCAAGGTTGTGAACAAACTGCATGTATCTGTGTGATGTCACGTCAAAACTAGAGGACACCCCTTTGAGCTCATCACTTCTGGGATAGTGACGTGCACTGAAGGGGTGCTTCCACAGGCGGTACAAGCCTGCAGTCAAGGTCTGCTTGAACTCGCACCAATTCAATGGAGCACCATGAGCCAATTGCATAAAGATGGTTGTGTCTCCTGTCTGCTCATTCTGAATCACCTCGTGAAGGTCGTCATTGTTTCCACCTACAGTCCATTCTGATGGAGATAGCGGGTGTCAGGGGTTGGCCAGTGGGTATGAGCCACGGCGCCCACCTGTTAGGCGCTCAACACCCTCCCACACCGCTTCTCCAGGCGTCTTGGAATCCCCTGGCTCATATCCATTAGATGAAAAGCTGCGGCCCTCCACATTCTCCAGGCAGCCACAGCAGACGACCCAAACCCAAAAGAGCCCTCTAGATTTCAAGGAAACCCTCTCCCTCTCCGCCAAATGTCATAAACAAAAACAGAACCGCAAATCGGGGCCAAAACCTGGGTGTTCCGGAACCATCGGTGGATCCGGATCCGCTCCGATCCCGCTCGTGCCGGTGCCGGGCCGACGAGACGCTCGTACAACGGCCGATCCGTGGCCGATGAGGACTGCGTCGGGTCACCGGTGGCCGGACTTGGGGGGGAAACCAAAAACACAGGATCGGTCGATTTGGTCCCCCAAACCCCACAGAATTGGAGGGTTGGCATGGGTTGGCCAGACATCCACATTTCTATGTCACGGCCTGGGTGTGGATGCGCTGGGCCTTTTTTGAAGATGGCCATTTCTGCCTCCGATGCTTTCAATCCGCCTGTGAATACATCTCACGGTCCTGACATACCCATGATATCCCATGATCAATGGATGTCAAACGCGTTTTGAATCCTAGTGCCCCATTTCACGGTAGTTGCCAATTCTTTTTGCACTGTCATTCCTAGGAATATATATTTATCCCAATTGTAAAAGGCAACCAAGGATTCTATCTCTAGACTCTAACTCCAGGTTTCTGCCTGTGAAGCCACATACATGTTGGGAAATTGTCATGATTGCCAAAATGAACGCAAAACCTTTGACAGAGTTTTCCACAGAACTACAGTAGTTCTCTGGGTTGGTCACTGGTCGTGGGTGTGCGCCCCCAAAGAGAACCATTCACTGCTTCCAATGCATTGAGTGTTGTGTGGAGTCACTGTTAATTATTTCAATTGTTCTACCCGTCTCATATCATATCACATCAACAAGCAAGCTAAGATTGACATCTATAATACATTTCCCATAATTTCCCTGCCTGCATATTGTTTATGACCAATGCAGATCTGCATCCTGCATGATAGGAATAGCTTAAGAGTGAATTCCCCCAACAAATCTATCATGTCGGGAATCCA